CTAATTTTTTAAGTCACCACTTTGGTTATGTGATTAGTTTGCAGACATGCCAAATTACATGTACAGTGACGGACGGGGTGAGGGCGAGACAGACTTTTTTTAATAAAAAAAATTACATGGTACTATATTATTGTCTTTGTTAAGCTTTTTAGACTGTGTCTGAAGTGAGTGACTGACTGAGTGAAATAACTATATATTAATATATTGCCATTCACTTTTGTAACGAGTTATGTTTTTCCACTATTTATGTTTATTAAAATGACACAATATGTAATGTTGAAAGCACTCTCCGTTAAACTGAAGTCCATTGTATTTAAAAACAATAGATATAGATATCCTTAATATTCAGATTCAGAACACAGGCTCGTCAAGTTGATAGTGTAATAATAATAATAATAAATTATTGAGTCGTAAAATTGAAATAATTTTTGTATCTACCTTATAAACAAACAAAGAGAAATATAATTAAGTTGGTAACCCTAATCCTTCTAACTAACAAACCGAACATCATTTATGTTAAGTACAAAACAAATATTACAATCGACGCTACCTATTATAATTTAATCAATAGTTTGCATTCGTTTTCGCTCCACTCGTCATAAACAATCGCTTTCAACATTAAATGAAAGTGAAAACGAATTATAATGATAGCAGATGAAAAAGTAATAGAATATCGGATTTAAAGTAACTGACAAAAATTCGGAGAACAATGTTTTGGCACAAATGTGACGGCTCGACCGAAGTAATAGCACAACCTCACAGAAAACCGGTGCTAACCAATTCTTTGTTGATTGACTGAGGTTACCGAGTCCTACGAAAACCCTCCTCGAAAGCGTAACTGAATACATAAAAAGAATAAGAAATGAATACCTTTCTACTATTAAGTGTCTTTACTAATAATACTAATATAGACTAAGAGTACATTCTGTTTCTAACCTACTACTCAACAGCCTATAGCCTATTTTTTTTATTATTAAAAGCAAGAAAAGACAACTGCTACGTACCTGCTGCAATTATTTTAAACTCTATTTAAAAAATCCGCACAAAGAACCTATACTTTTATACGAGCGACTCTGTCCCTCACAAAATATTTGCTTTTGTTCGAAAGTGATGGTTGCTGTTATTCAGCTACATAACGTACATTCTATAGCTCCCCGCGGTTAAACAAACACGTAGACAAAAATTCTTCGCTCATGTAATAAAAAATCTTATTCCTTTTGTTTGTTCCTGGCACGTGCGACATAACGCTAAACGTAGCAGAAAAGTTTTGAGAAATATTTTAATAAATCGAACAGTTAGAATATAAAATCAAAATTTTTGCAAAAATTTTAGCAGAATAAAAAATATGAAAACATAATAGTAGAACTTTTTTTGTTCTCGTGGTATCCAGCTTTTTAACAGAGGCTTGAAAAACAACGAAATATTTTTAATGATATGTTTTGAATCATATTTTATTTATAAATGTTAAAAGTTATGTTTTTAACATCGGCAAACAATGGTTAAAGGGTTTATATCTTCGATCAACAATATTAACTACTAACTAAGTACTATTATTGATCAAACGAAGGTTTATATAAATCTTTGAATATCTTTACATTACTTTTTAAAAATATAAACTGGCAGAAACTTTTGACCGATAAGTAAAGACTCAAAGCCATTCTAAACCCAGTTCTTTTAGTTTCGTCTGAGTTTTACTAAGTTAACTTTGTTTTTATTTTTACAAGGCAGTTACTTTTAAGATATTATTTTTTTCATTATTTGTGAATACTATTAGCGGTTCAGTGGTCATCACCAAGATGTGCGATCCAATCATGTGCGTTGTTCTAAATTTTTTTTAACAAGTTCTGCATTTCCACTATTTATGTTTATTAAATGACACAATATGTAATGGTAAAAGTACTCTCCGTTAAACTGGAATCCATGTATTTAAAATAATATGCAGATTCAGAACACAGGCTCGTCAAGTTGAGTGTTGTGTTAAAAAAAAAAATAGTAAATGATATCTTTGAAAAAAAAAGGAAGAACATTCCACGTTAAAAAAAAAAACGCATTAAAAGCTACGTTCTGTTCACTCCTCTCTTGTAAAGTCTTTCTGCTACGACTTCTTAATTTTTACAGTAATTTTAAGTTTTCGAACACAATAAACATAACATAGGTACATCAGATCACCTTGTTTGTAAATTGTAAGTCCAATTATATATAATTCATTGTACATTATTTTCATTTTCTTGTGTTCATTTCATTTTATGTCATTATTTACAAATGTTGGGGGTACAGTTATATGTAGACTAACGACCCGGATAACGAGAAAGACTGTATCTTCATGTTCAGGAAAATAACACAAATTTCCAACTGTTCGGAGATACTTTAATAACGGGTGAATATATCAAAATACTCGTATTTTTGATGCTTTATGGTTGATGTACTCTTTGTTTCGTTTCGTTTGTTACTTTTGTTTTACCGTCATTGTTGTTTTACCGTATTGGGACTGGATTTTTTTTTATCGTAGAGAGCCAAGAATCGAGTATCGAGTTAAATCGGAAGAGAGCCAAGAAGAAATCAAAAATCTGAAACCAACAGTAAAGTACTAATATATTTAAAAATAATAAAATACAATATTTTATTCATATTTTCCCTAGCGCTATCTAAACTAGACCTTAACTAAGCACATCTTGTAACAGGTTCTGGACTATTAAAATACTTAGATATTTAGTTTCACTTCGTAGACTCCGCGATTGAAAAGTTGATTACGAGAATTGCTTTTTAATTGCACGAACTGCACGGATGGCGTAGTGGTTTAAGCGGTCGCCACGCCGCTCACTACTACGCTGAGTGTTGTGGGTCCGATATACAAATTGTTGTTCTGAGTCTGGGTGTTCTTTGTGTCTGTTTCATGTATGTTTGTTAAGTCCCCCGTGACTTAGGATATATTCCTAACTATCTTTAAAAAATAAAATTAAAATAGAAGCCAATCTTTATGATATATACCAGTACATACCAGTACCATACCCTATGATCCCATTAGGGAGGGATGGGGTTGACAGCGGAACTTAAAGTAGTAGTAGTAGTTCAATGAGACCTGGATTTGATTACCATATGTCAGCCCCGAGATTCCAGCAACCACCAGTACGGACGTTTGCTGGCCATAAAACTATTTTTTTTTATCTACTATCTCTCAATATTTTCCTAATTCACATTTGTACAGTACATTTGTCGATGTCGTTTTATTTTCTCTTAATGCGATGATATCTAACCCATCGTAAACTGCCTCTTAAATGCCGAGCTGTGTTTTCGTATTTCTCGTATTGTTTTGATCTTTTGCTAATGGCTAATGCTATAAACAAACATTTTCGTCTATGCAAATGATCGAGAACAAATAAATGAGTCCGATAGAGAAAATAAATATTATATTTCAAAATAAGAGCTATGATACGAAACTACTACTTTTAGTTTAAATAAATACACTACACTACAATAGTAATATAACAAACACCTAAACCACACACGCATGCACGCACGGACGGACACACACACACACACACACACATAAACTTACACACGGACACATACACTAACGCACGCACGCTACGCTCACGACATGCAACCTCCAAATGCACACAGACACGCTTTTAAATGTATCATTATTTTGTTGTTAAACTACATACTCTTGCTGTACACAACAATCACGAGTCATGGTAATACCAACAGAGTTGAGGGACTGTAACTGTAACTCCTAAACACAGGCAAGTTAGTTGCCTATCTAGGAGAACAGCAATCACTCCAATTAATTATAACCTAAGTCATATACCTAACTATTATTAAAACCTATGTAATGTAACTCTAAAACCTTACTTAGAAATAAATATTATAATATTATTATTATTTTTAATTGTGTGCCTCCAGTACATCTTGTTTTTTGTAAAAAATCAAAGAATAAATTTAAACTGTATGACAGACAGTGTTTTTTTTTTGTATTTGACCGTAAACATTTATTTATACTCCAACAGTTGACGAAAAAGTTTTTCTTCAGTGTTTTCCCAAATTTAAAACATTTATAATTTAAAACATGGAAAACATTTTCGAAATCTTTATAACACTTCGAGTCAAGGTGTATTATACTATTTAATAATAATAATATTACCCTTTATTATTTTCTATAACAATTTGAAATCTAGTTTTGATTTCTTTTAATCAAAGAAATTATAAAAACTAAAGCAAGTAATTTAAATACTAAAGTAGTATAACAGTTTTATTAAACCGTATCGTTATTAGAAAAGAATTGGAAAGCATTCTAAATTTAAAACTTTCGCGTTCCATGATAAATAGTGGTCTAGTGATATGCCTATTTGAATAAACTCCAGAACAAGGACACATCTAGTCATTTATGAAATAGATACACTGTCAGTAAAACTAAACAGTATGTGACGATACAGGGCACAATGGACGTATTCAACATATCGAGAATGTGTCAGTGCAAACTGGTCAAAACGTATGTAATACCTATTAATCGCGTAAATTCTTTAAGAGGAACGTTCCTAAGATACGCGCAAATAAGCACTGGTTAAAGCATTGGTTAAAGTCACTGAAATCAAACTTTGCTATTTTGAATATTTCTGCTATTTCTTTGTTTTATTTGAAAATAGTTATTTTTAGTTTAGTTAGTTTAGAAAATAGTATTGATAATACATTCTCCGTTCAATTTCTTTACTAATTCGGACCAAAAATCCACAATCTAAGCTTAAATTTTTTAGCGAAAAAAGATCTCCGTTGTCCATAAATTTCAGTACGTAGAAATTGTCTGCCATAGTGTTCAATAAATTAGAGAATACTCGCGCAAAAACTCCAGTGCCACAAGAAGATTCAATGCGAGAGCACGTCCGTTAGTAGTTCATTCGAACGTTCATCCGAAAAGTTCGGACAAGCAAGAAAAGGTGGGTTGCGAGTGTCGGACTCTCACCACTGCTAATTTATATTCTTCGAGCAAAATTTAGAGAAACTAGGTAGGTATGTGATTTATTTATTTATTTATTTATGTATTTTGATTTTTTTACGAATTAATATGAAACACAAATGTTAGTACTCATTAACATCGTAACTTTTTTTAAACCTTTTTCAGGTAGATATGAAAAACGCAAAGAAAATAATTATGAAAATAAAAGAAGATGTAAAAGAATGCAGTAAGTATCCATAATGTAATCACTTTTTTACAAGACTGTGCAGAGCCTAAAAAGATGTCTACCGATTCAAGAGCTCCGACGTAGTAACACAAACAGCTTTAAGATGACTTCATAAAAAAAATAATGAGTCACTGAAAAACACATTGTACAAAGATATTCCTTTGACGGGCCTGTTAGTCTAGTGGTTAATGAACCCAACTGCTAAGCCGGAGGTCGTGGGTTTGATGCCTACCCAGGACAAATATTGTGAGATGAGCACAAGCATTTGTTCTGTGTCTGGGTGTAATTTTTCTATAGTACCTATGTATTTATTATCCTCTAGCAACGAAACGAAGTTAGCGAATTTTGAGCGACAAATGGAGGGTATCGCAACCCAACAAACGAGTTTAACGTACGCGGACAAACTTAAGCTTCGCTTACCACCTAAATCTGCTCCGTGCCCGGTACCTACTGAAGCGCGCGTTCCTAGGCCTTGTGTCATTGCCTATCCCACTACGGAACGCCTAGCGGACTATGCGACCTCGTCAGCAACAAAACAAGCTCTCATGAAGGCTATTAAACCGAGCGATGAGGGATTTCAAATTGTAGGCGTTAAAAAAACCTCTAAGGCAGGCGTCGTGTTACGTGTAGCTAACGAACGGCAGCTTAAGAAACTGGAATCTGTGGACGCCATTAAATCAGTAGGGTTGCGCTTAGAAAAACCGAAAGGCCGTAGGCCCCGTATAATTGTAAAAGACGTACCCGGTTCTATGGAAGATCGTGCCTTCCTAACAGCCTTATACCGTCAGAATATCAAGGACGAATTAAAATTAAGTGAGAACGATTTTATTAAGTCAGCCAAAATTGTTAGGCATCGTAAACTAGAAAATGGGCGTCAATGGATAGGCTTAGAATTAGAGGCAGCAGTTCGGAAACATCTAGCCAACACAAAAGATAAACTTTATATAGACTGGGCCACATGTAGATTCATAGACGATATAGAAGTAGTTCGTTGCTTAAATTGTCAGCAATTCGGTCATGTACAAAAGTTTTGCACTATTAAAACCCCTACTTGTGCTAATTGCGCCGCCGCACACGAAACGCGAGCTTGTCCAGATAAAGACACACCAGATTTTAAGCCCACGTGCGCACAGTGTAAGCGGTTCAAAAAACCATCTGACCATCGATGCGGCTCATACGACTGTGCCACATACAAATTAAAACTGGAACAGCTAATATTAAATACCAATTACTGAATAGTTTAACTTAGTTTAAAAAAAAAAAAAAAAAAAAAAAAAAAAAAAGTTTAAAGAGTAACTTACTAAGTAATGAATAATATTTCGATAGGCCAGTTAAATCTTCATAACGATAAAATAGCTACATCAGAATTAGACCGTTTAATTTTAGAACAAAAGTTAGACATTGTCCTTTTACAAGAACAATATCAGAGCGCTCGCTTGCGTCGTAATGTAGTACAGCTTGACTGCCGTTCGCAGGCTGGGATATATGTTGCAAGTTCTAATTTTACGGTTACATCTTTGCGTAATCTTATGACGTCACACTGCGCCGTTGCTGAGATCTCATCCTCTACCTGTAAGGTTTACGTAGTGAGCTGCTATTTTCAATACTCACATCCTATTGATCCTCACTTACATCACTTACGTTACGTCTTGCAGTTCCTCGTGGGACATAAAATTATCATTGGCGCTGATGTCAATGCGTCATCTTCATTATGGTATGGCAAGTTGCGTTCAACCGACACGGTTCGACGTTGTGCGGTTGAAGATTTCATTGCGGAAATGAATCTTATTATTCACAATACCCCCGATGCACCACCAACTTTTTGCAACCCAATGGGTGAGTCTTCTATTGACGTGACGCTTACGCGCGGCGACGTCTCGATATCCGGATGGCGTGTCCTTCCGGACGCATCCTGTAGTGATCACCGCTTGATCGTGTACGAATTCACACCAAGGGTTGCACAGGATCCACAAAGGGCTCCCTATAATTTTAGATATAAAACTAAAGGTGCGAACTGGGCTTTGTTTGGTTCACTCTTTGCAACTCATACCAAAGACTTCAGTCGCAGTAGTTTATCAGCTGAGGAAAGCGCAGAAATACTATCAGAAACTTTTACATACTGCGCTGATGTAACTATTGGTCGCGGATCTATCACTAACACTCGTAGATGTGATTGGTGGAATGATAGATTAGCCGAACTACGTAGAAGCTACCGGAAAGCTCGTAGAAAATTAAACACTATTAAAAAACATAACGTAACAGGAGATTTGTACAACAATGCTCTCATTGCTCTTAGAGTTGCCAGGTCCCACTACAGAGCTGCTGTGGAAAAATCCAAGGGAAACTTAATTCAGAAACTTGTTGATAAACTCGATAGAGAGGGCCCGTGGTCACCTTTGTATCACGAATTTAAAGCAAATAGATCAATCGACCTTGCATACATACAGAACATCAAAATTAATAACAGATATACCACAGGAGTAGAACAAACAGCAGAATATCTTTTAGACTCACTCGTACCTGACGATCGACCGGAGAACGACACTGATCATCACCGACAGATCAGGCAGTGGGCCATCGAACCACCACAATCTCCAATGTCTGATTTACCATCTTCAGACGAATTTCTCGGTATCATTAGATCCTTGCCGCTAAACAAGGCTTCGGGCGATGATAAAATATCTAACAAAATGATAAAAGAAGCTTGTAAACTTTCGGGTGACACGATTTTCACTGTCTTTAAACGTTGCATTGCTGAAGGAATATTTCCTCGTATATGGCGGTGCGGTAATATTCGTATAATACCAAAAAGTGGCGACAAGCCACCGGATGATCCTAAATCCTACCGACCAATCACATTGTTACCATCGTTAGGAAAGCTTTTAGAACGTCTTGTAGTGCCCCGGCTTCTGCCAGGTGGAGTCAAATTTCATGATAGACAATTTGGATTTACGTTGGGTAAATCAACAACTGACGCTGTTATATCGGTTAGAAAGTTTGTCACAGGGTCAAAATTTCAATACGTGCTGGCTATTTTCTTAGATATATCTGGCGCCTTCGACAACGCATGGTGGCCCATGCTGTTGCTGAAATTAAAATCACGGGGGTGCTTTAAAAATATTTATTCCCTTATCTCTTCGTACTTTTCACAAGGTACAACTAAACTAAGACTTGGTCATCATTCTGTGTCGAAGGCGCTTACAATGGGATGTCCTCAGGGATCGGTGCTAGGTCCATACTTGTGGAATATCGGCTTCGACGATTTTCTTGCGATACCAATACCATCCGGATGTACTCTGAACGCGTATGCTGATGACGGCTTATTACTGGTGGAATCTGATACTAGGGCGGGGCTTGAGAGATTAGCCAATAGATGTTTGAACTTGATATCTCAATGGGGTGAACGTAATCGCTTAACTTTTGCACCCAACAAAACCTTCCAGCTACTTTTAAAAGGTAACCTCAAATCACCGCCGAGCATTAGATTTAACAATGTTACTGTAAAAAATAAAACCACAGTGTGTTATCTAGGATTAGTTTTAGAAAGAAACTTTTCATTTATCGAACATATTAAAATAGTTAATGAAAAGTCTAAAAAGAGTTTCTGTGCATTGACAAGGATATCAACTGCGACATGGGGTCTATCATTTAATACATTAAAGATCATATACGGAGCTACTTATTTAGGTTCTATGTGCTATGGTGCACCTGTATGGGCCGATAGGGCGACCGTAGGCGCTGTCCGTCGCAAACTGTTACAAGGCCAACGACTTGCACTGATATTCTTGTGTAAGGCATATAGGACGGTTAGCACTGAGGCTTTGCCGGTGTTGGCGGGTGTGCTTCCGGTCGATCTCGAGGTGCAGAGACGTGCAGCCATGTACTATTCAAGACAACAAAACATGGAATGCGATTTTTTAGGCGCGCGGGATCGCGGTAAAATTACAAGATTGCTTCAACAGCAGCCCGATGTCTATAACGACCTCATAGACGAATGGCAACAACGCTGGGATGAATCATCCAAGGGGCGCCATCTTTACCAATTCTTTCCATCTGTTCGCGAACGGTTGTCGAGGATATGGCTTGAGGTGGATCACTGTGTCGCTCAATTTCTTACGGGTCATGGTAACTTTAAGAGCAAGCTTTATTCATTTAAATTAGTCGAGTCACCACTGTGTCAATGCTCAACACCTAACTCTCACTATGAACAGTCTGCTCATCATATCCTCTGGGAATGTAGTCTTTGGTATAATGAACGTAATATAATGCTGAATAGCTTGCAGGTGACATCTGGGGCGGTATACTATGGGGATCTTGTGTCAACTAGGGTGAATTTCCGTGCGTTTAGGCGATTCTGCCATACATATTATAGAAATCAAACATAGCTTACGTAGGACCCGTAATATTTGTGGCCGTGGTGCTTCCCTGTTTAAAAGGGTGTATGCCCATTTTTACTTCATTTTGTCTCCCGCTTTGCTAAGGAGGGAAGTGGATTTACTGTATTTCCAACTCCTCCAATTTTCTTCTGATTAATTTCGTTGCGGGTTCCAAGACAGTTTAATTTCTTCCTGGGACTTCCCGAGTGTCATAACTCGGTGTGTTCGTGGGTCACTGCTGTGGATCCTGGTGTACAGGAGTTACAGTGGTGGGCGTGTGGGTGGGATTAGTCCCATTTAAAGTACCTATGTATTTAGTAATAAATATGTACGTTTATCAGCAGATTGGTTACTATAGTACAGGCTCTTCCTAGTATGGGACTATACTGCCTTGAGTGAGATGTGTGAAGTTATTATTATTAAATTTCCAAATAAATACTGTAATAATCATTGTTTCAGGAGACAAGACGTTTTAATAAGGGATAGACAGGAAAATGGGGGTCAGAGAGCACATTTACTTGATGGAGGCTATTAAAAAAAGAAAAGCTATATCATACGAGTAAGGCTCTACTCCTTACAAACGAGTTTGCTGTAGTTATACATTTATTTTGCTAAATATTTGACAAAATAGATTGCTGTTTTTGTGTTTGTTGATCTATGACTTTAGAGTCTACATGAAAGAATGATTTCAAAATAAAACTAAAAGAAATTTATGAAATAAAGATGCTTTTACTAAATCGTTCTGTTGATTCTAATCTGAATTTACTCTTTTTTTACATAAATAAATAAGAAATAAAATATCATCTATGAAACCCACATTTCCCGTATCACTCAGAATAATAGCCTTGACAATTTCTTAGATTTTTCCATAAAAACTAATAGTTTTAACATAATATTCACAAAGCATACACTTGGACCACATCCTTTGTCGCCGGCTAGTACGGGCCTACGCACTACGCTCTAGGCACTACGGGCCCGCGAGCTACGCAATGCGTTACAATACATTGCGTGTTTTTTGTGACATTCATAAACAATCTACAAAGACGAAGAGGTGATGAACCTCTTCGTCTTTGTAGATAAGCTTATACAAAGCCGAAAGTAGATTGATTAGTGTCCAGGGATATTAATAGTGCGCGTTGCGTCTGTGTGCATGTAAAATATTAATGTGGGTTTTCAAACTCGAGTTCTCATGCTTGGGGACTACAGTTTTAATAAATAAGTTACCGAGATTTGTTTTTCATTTTAACAATAAGACACTCAGAAACCTAAGGACGCAGAAAGTCAAAGTAAATACAATGATACCTTACATAAAATAAGCCACTATTCATCTTAAATGTACTTGAGTGTTCATCTCTATTTATATATTAAATCTTTTCAGCATATCAAATCTCGTAATATTATAGGGCCGTATGGAATATTATACGCATCAAAAATTCCCATAGGAACTTCGAAAATATACAATTGCGAATAAAACTGATTTCAATAACCGAAACTACCTGTATTTTTATTTTGTAATATTTTTTTTATTAATATTTTATCATGATACGGAAAGCACGACGAGGCTTTTGTACTTAAACTTATATCTACTACGTATATTTGAATTTTTAACGTTATATTTTTTTTTTAAATATAACATGTTACAATTTTCTAGCCATAATTGTTCAATTTACAATAATCATAAAAATTACCACTGTATGGTTATATATGGTTTATGGTTTTATCCGAAGGCTAAGGAATCGTTTTGTTTAGGTATATTAGGTTAGAGTTGAGAATTGAGTTGAGACCTATTCTTAGTTGTTAGAAAATAATAAAAGTTGCGTCTCTAGTCACAGGACATACATAAACGTTTATGTAAGTCCTGAGACCACACGGTCCTGACCTCTTGGAACTATTGCCTCTCAGTGTTGTTGTGTTTCCCATCCGCAGTGTTATTCCCCATCATACCCTACCTACTACCTATATTTTTTTTTGAGTTTACATTCCTCCTTTAAAATATCCGAAGATTTTTTTATGTAATGTATAAGAGCAGTTGAGTCACTTGATGTTTACTGACTGCTACCGCCCATGGACATATGCAATTCAAAAGATACAATGCCTTGCCATCCTTTGTGTGCCTTCCCCCCAGAATTAGAGGTAAAGTTGAAGATTGAGCCTTCGGAAGAGCCTTTATTCGGCACAAATTGGTTGTGTAGTATCATCATGCTTAAAGACTTAGGAGTATTTAACTCCAGATTAGATTCTCCGTCTTACACAAAAATATTTAAATCCATCTAGTTGTGTACAAAGATTAATGCGTTTAAAAACACAAACAATGAAGTAAAAAAACTATTCAGCAGCTAGAAGACCACTGTATGGAGAAAAAAATCAATTTCAATGAACAAGTAATCAGGTCTGTAAATTAATCTATCAAATAGCGTCAGAGATTGAATTGAAATTGGGTCCTAATTTGAAATACAAAACTGGCTGGACGATTTTAACAGTATGAATTCCATTATATCGCACACAGACAAAAACAATTTGGAATTATTATCTCACATGCGATACTCAATTTTCCCACATGATTAAGCTGAATTTACATGAGTTCGGACTTCATACAGCGGCTCTGTATTCGGTAACATCAAACATTTAGAGGATCAGAGCAATCTCGTTGGAATTTGAATAAGGAATAACGCGTTGAAGGATCATCACATCGGGGCCCCTACTTAAGTCATTTTAAGTCTAAGTATTTAAAGAATTTGAAAGGTCAAGGACAACTCAAATTAGAGGGCTCGTATTTAAATATAATGCCTTGGTTTAATTAAAAATTTGTACAGTAAGCCGATTATAATGTCTCGTTGTAGAGAGTTTTTGTAGCAGAGCAGGTGCACCGTCCGTCTCCACCGTCCAGGCAACTTTTACTATCTCGGCAAAAATATATATTTAGTTATAGACGTTTTTTTCATTTACTAAGCCTTTTTGAATAACAACCGAACTTAGGAAATTAGATTACAATAGAGATATTTCACTATAAATTTTTATAATGAAATGGACAAACAAATAATTTACTCGTACCCCATGTTTAACTTTGGAAAGGAGTGAATTTATTTGCCAAAGCTACCACAAACAACAGTACATTTAACACAGCATTACACTGAAAATTATAGGCTGGTTTGGAGACTAACTATTGCTGGTGTTTGGATATAAATAGTAGAACACACAACAGTATAATATGGCTATAATATGGCACAAGTGCGTTGCCGCCCTTGGAGTGCCTCCCGCTCGAGTCAGCGGGAGAGGGGATTTGGGCTCCGGTAACCTCACTCACTCAGTGAAAGGCAACGGAAGAGTTGCTTAATAGTTTGATAAGTTAAGTATAGCTGTGTAAACTAAACATTTTGAAATTCTTTAATACTTCATCTAATATTCATAATCTTTTTTTTTATTGTAGAAACCCTCATGGGTGACACTTTACCGGAGCTAACTTAAAATAACTCTAAGAAGAATATTGCAAAGTCTACTTACTAAACTAGAAAAACCCGGAATTTGTTGCATAGACATCCAAATTTATTCAAATGAAAAATACTTTGCTGAGGCCGTTCAGAAGTCTAAAATTTTGGTCAAATCCCAATTACTATGTAAATTCTTAAACAACTTGTTGGTATATTATTATTTAAGCCATATAATGAAAGTGAGGTGAGGCAAGTCAATTTTATGGCTGACTAGCTGGTGCCCACAACTTCGTTCGCGTGGAATTTGAAAAGCGCTGCCTTAGTGGGTTCGATTCAAAAATTTATTTCGGGCAAAATTTTATAGCCTAATTTACTCCTTATATAGACAACTACCTGGTAGTAAAATATTATCAAAATTGGTCTAGCTGTTTTAAAGATAACCCGGAACAAACAGACAGACAAAAAATATTGAATCTGGTTTTAAGGCATAGTTGTCGTACAAATAACCGTGTCAGCATGAAAAAACAGTTTTAGCAACAATTGCAACTAATGCCTAACCACTTAGTTAAGATATGTGCTGTTGGTATTGTTTGGTATCCATTGACTTGTACTTGTACATACTTGAAGTCGCAACTTAGGTGCTTTCTCTGATCGAAACTGTAGTCAATTCTATTTCTATTTTCGAACGAGATCGAGCTGTCAGTATCAATCTGGAACAACGTCGAACAGGCAATCTTAGATCATTTAAGTGTCTAGACGGAGTGTAAAAGTACTTAACGACTGCCAATATATATGTGCAAAACACTGTCGTATGTGTAATCGAGCATTAATAGTACTGGTAACAATACAGCTTACACACACAGCGGTAGAAATCCTACTTAGTGGCCATTCGTCATCATCATCAACAGCCCACTGCTGGACATAGGCCTCTCCTTAGAAGGGAAGTTTTGGCCTACTATACCAACGCTGGCCAGACGGGTTGGCATTGCGTTCGTATCAAGTTTTCCTTCTCTTTGTAGTGCTGTTGTCGTGCGTAGTTTGCTCCCTTAGTCGGCTCTTACGAAACACGAGATGAATAGGGTGACACTCCGTATTCTTAATCCGTCACCACGCGGACAGTAGTGGCCATTAGTGGCACGTTATTATTTCGACGCTTTCACGACTTTGGCAGTCGACCTAGACATATTATTCATGATATAAGCAGACAACTATCTCATTGATGTGCACCATTTTTTGTTGTAAATATAATATAATTTTGTTGTAAATAATAAACTGGTTTTTTGCACTTGTCAGATTTTTTTTCAATAACTTGACACGAACCGATTTTTTCTAAAGACGTTTTTTCAAAGTAATACTTTGACCGGAATTATTACGTTGAAAAACCAGCAAGTTTATTTTTTTTAATATGAAGTTATTTTGCGCTGCATATCCAAAATAATATAGTGTTGAAGGAGTGTTACGCATATTTAAAAAAATTAATATACTTGCGTACATGTAAAATAGATTAGGTGTACAGGAAATATTTATGCTTAATAGGTAATTCAGATTTTATAAGTTGAAGTAGGTACTTAGTTATTAATGAGAAATGAAAACTAGTTAATATTGAACAATAAAGCCACAGCTTTGTAAACATCATTAGTATTACGACACCAGATGGATGGATTAATTAACCAATTAATATCATAACTTTGATGTGAAGATACAAAGCTCCGATATATTTATTAGCGCTGACAAATAATTTGTATCGTAATGGAAACGAATATCAATCGTGGCATAAAAGATTATTGATGATTTTTTCTTAATTTAAAGCCGGTATCACTCAGGATAATAAGGATTTCTAAAAAGTTCTGGTGGCATAAATGAAATCTTACACATATATGAACCATAAGCAAAACTAACGAGCAGACGGGTCTCCTGAATTGTAAGTGACTACTGCGGCACTTGGACACCTACAACTCAAGAGGTACAAGTCAGTTACCGTCCATTATTATTATTATTACTCCTATCGAGGTGACCCATTTGTGCCTGCTGCTGGTTCCATGGCTGGC